CCATCACTGATCCAGCTCTTGGGTGTTTGCCTCCTGGGAGGCAAGTTCCTCCCCTGGCTGGCACCCAGGCTTCTGCCTTTCTCTTCTCCTCAGTGTGGAAGTCCACCAAAATTTGGTTCTTTGGAATCCATTGTTTTCCAGTGGTCTGGTAGCACAAGTGTCTCTTTAAAAGGTCTCCTCTCCTGCCAAGGGTTATAATCCCTTCCTGGAATTGACCACTCCTGCCTTTCCGTGTGATTCCCTTCTCTATTGAATATGTGGGCCCTTCTCTACTGGACACTTAACAGCTATTTAGCCAGAACTGGACAGGACCTGTTTGTTGACACTGGTATGTTCAGCTACTTAAAGAAAGGAATCTGCATGATTCAGTTTTTAAACTCCTAGCTTGTAAAACAGAACTTGGCATCTGCTCTTGATGCCCTCAGAAAAAGCAGGTGAAAGGTCTGGCTGAGTGGAGAAGAGTGTCCTTTGACGCTGTAAATCGATATACACATATAGGTCAGTCTAGTTTCAGTGGCGTCCCAACATATACCAGGTGGTGGCCAGTGATGGCTTCTGGGAAATGGAGGCGATGCTCTCTCCAAAACACAGCAGCGCTGCCACCACCAAGAGAAAGGAAAACTGTATGAGCTCTATCAAATGAGTAGGGTGCAAAGTGTTCACAGCAGGAGCTGGACCAAAAAGTGCCGCAGAAATCCACTGTGTGGGGGTTGATGGATAAGCAAGAGGATTAGGAAAGAGGTTTCCAGTATCCTTCTGTGGTGGGACTGCCGCCAAGCTGAAGAGAGTGCGGGAGGATATGGATGTAAGCCATTGGGCGGCCCTCTAGCTGCCTTTCATATAAGTAACTATCTTTTCTTCATTGTGATTTAAGTCTAATCATTGCTAAGCAACTTATAAGATTTTAAGACACAATCTCAAAGAAGAGACAGGTTAGGGAAGCCAGTGGCTAAATGTCCTGAATCACCTTGTAGACACTGTCCTGTGATCTCTGTAGAATTTTCTACAACAACCTTTTGTGTGTCTTTGCAGCATGGTTATCTAGACCAGGATTTTTCCAACTGTCATGTGTGTGTGTATATGTATGTTTTTTAAATGTGTATATGTTTCTGTATGTGTATATGTTTGTGTATATGTGTTTGTGTGTATGTTTGTGTATATTTGTGTATGTTTGTGTGAGTATATGATTCTGTGTGTGTATGTTTGTGCGTGTATGTTTGTATATGTGTATGTGTGTTTGTGTTTGTGTATATTTGTGTGTATATGTTTGTGTGTGTTTTGTGTGTGTGTTTTATGTTTGTGTGAGTGTGTGTGCGCGTATGCTGTGTTCTAGCTTCTGTCACTCATGGTTGCTTTTGTAAAATATTAAACAGGGAAGAATAAGATATGCCAATTGTGGGGCTGAAGGGGTGAGTCAGTGTTTAGGAGCACTGGCTGCTCTGCCAGAGATCCGGGTTCCATTCCTACCACCCGTGTGGCAGCTCACAACTACCTGTAACAACAGGTCCAGGGAAGATCAGATGTACTCTTCTGACCTCCAAGGGCACCAGGCCTGCCTGTGGTGTGTGGACATGCATGCAGGCAAAGCACTCATGCACATAAAATAAAAACAATAATTTTTAAAAATAATTTAAAAAGACATGCCAGTTATAGAAACACAGCCAAACTCACATCAAAGTGTCAACATGCTTCCTCAGGTTCACTTTATATTGTTGTGGGGTTTGTCCACTCCCACACCTCGACAGGCACCAAGTTATATTCGAGTTTGATATTTTCAAATAAGAAGCCAGAGGAGAACAGTCATGTACAAGCTGTTCAAGGAAGGGGATCTTAAGGACATAAACCACTTAAAAACTGGATACTTTAAAGCAGATTTTTTAATCTCAGAGTGAAACTGAGTGGCAGAACGTTCTCCTTTTGAGTGTCTCTGCTGTTCCTGCCCCCAAAGCAGAGTGAGGAATTCATAGCCAAGAATTCTTTCCAGCGCAGACCCTTCTGTGGGTTGGTTATGAGCCGTTTGTGAGTCGTAGGTGCTGACGTGAAGCCAGTGATGGGCTCTCTTGAGTTCACTGATGTCCTGGCTCTGTCATTTGAGCCCAGAGCGAGCTGTTATTAGGCTGAACTTCCAGCCTCTCATTTTGGCTTCAAATGATTACAGCTGCCGGGGCAGCCCATGCTACAGTCGCTTCCCGCAACTGGTTCAGGGTTAACGTCCCCTATTTAAAAGACTTAATTATGGTCAGAGTGGGGCCATCCCACTTTGATCTGTTATCTAGAATGACCTACAAAAAGCTGGACTCCTAATGGCCTCTTTTCTCGGCGATATCAGAAAAGCAAGCAGCCTTTAAAACATAGGGCCTCTGCCATGAACTCTCAGCGTTTCCAAGTACTGTCCACCAGAGATCTGCTGAGGGGGAGCCACAGGCTTCGTCTCCAGCAGCAGATGCAGTTCTTCCAGGGTTGTAGCTGAGTTTTCCTCCCCAGCCTGCTGTAGCCACTCCTGCGCATTATATCTGTCCCCATCCCTGCTGTTACGTCTCAGCTTCGTGTGTCGGTACAGGCCAGGGTCTCTAGTTTAACTTCCTTAATTTGACATTCAAAATATTCCTTGAAAATGTCTAATTAGGATCTGGAAAGGTGGCGCAGTGGTTAAGAGCACTTGCTGCTCTTCCAGGGGACCCAAGTTTAGTTCCTAGCACCCAGGTTGGGCAGCTCACAACTGCCTGTGACTTCATCTCTAGGGGGATCAGACCCAGCTGGGTTCCTTGGGCACGTACCCTTTGTGTAGAATACACACACACACACACACACACACACATATTAAAATAATAAATCTCTTTAAGTGACTAATGCCATACTGAGGTACTGTCAAAAAAAAGCATGTATCAGAGTTGAGTATTAGATCATTTTTATGTACCATGTATAATTTAAGAAAAATATTAATTTGTTTTGTTTGACATCTCTTTGGGGGGGAGTGCCGGCCATAGCCTGTGTGCGCAGGTCAGAGGACAACTCGTGGGAGTTGGTTCTTTCCTTCCACCAAGTGGGTTCTGGGGCGGGGAGGAGAGGTCGGGGATACTCGGGGCATCATCAGATTGATGGCAAGTGCCTTTACCTACCGAACCGTCCCAGTAGCTCTCGGGGAGTGCTAGCTGATGAAGAGCAGGCGGTACATGTTGTTCAAATGTACCTGTTGCTTCAGTTCAGCCCTGGGTGGCTGCTCTTGGCTGGACGTTAACTCCCCTACGCATACAGAACTTCCTTATCACTGTCCCTCTCCTGAGTGACAATGAGCTTCGCTCGCAGAGGCGGGGCAGGGAGAATGCCAGCAAACTACACTGAAACCGTGTGAGCCTGATTTCTTATGAGATGTTCACTTCCAGGAAGGGAGGGAGAGAGGGAGAGACGGAAAAAAAGGAGAGAGGGGAAAGGAAAAGCAGTTAGCCACAAAGCTTGCTTTAAAAGATAACAAAAGTCACATGTGGTAATACTTTTAAAAGGAAAGGGACCAGAATGAAAACATATTTGGTATGAACAGTGAGTGACCTGTGCTACTTTAAGAAGCTAGTGACAACTTAGCCTTTGCTGTCTACAGAAGGAACAGAAAGAGTGAGCATGAGTGTGGCTTAGGAAAAGGCACAGGGAATGAGAAGCTGATGGAGGTGAAACCCTAGCTTCTCTTCAGTGGGTTCTTCCGTGCACTGTCTTGTGGTCTGCTGGAATTTGGGGTACAGAGGGGAGCTGTGCTCTCTGTTATTTTGCGAATGTACCCTCCCCCAATGCTGTAGCATACCTGCCCCCAGCCAATGCTTGTAGGTCACATCTTGTACTTGGAAGGAAGCAGAGCTACAGCGTACAGTCCTGGGGAAGGGACTGTATTTATTTTTTTATTTTACGTTATTTCAGCTGTTCTCAATTTTTTTTTTAATTCTGTCCTTGTTTCCTACTGAGTCCATTCTTCAGCAGTTGTGGAGACAGGAACATTGAGTTATGAACCCCTGAGCACACCAGGAGCAGAAGGCAGTTTCCCGTCTCTTGGCAACCCAGGCAGCATCTGGGCCATGTTGGCTTAACCCTCTGTGGGTCTGACTGATGTGGGATGTGTTTAAGAGCTGTTTAAGTGTTAGGCATATAAAATTATTTCCATTTCCCACGGTTCAGTACTCTAACTTAACACACTTAACAAAGGTAGAGTTATGCTTACTCTCTAAACTTCCCCAAGTTGCCGTGGATCTGGTCCTATGTGTAAGTATCTGATGTCTTTAAGCCTTAACAATTTGTGTTAAACACTCTATCACACTTGAACTTTTATTTCTAATTTCCCACAATCTGAACTTCAAATGTGTATGACCAGGACTTGTGGAATCAAGAGATCATCAGCCTGGAGTATTGTTCTTCGAATTCTGTCTGCTTTGGTTTTTGAGACAGGGTCCTCGTTGTCCTGGGATTGGATAATTGAACTAGGCTTGTTGGTCAATGAGCAAGTGCCAGTAATGCACCCATCTCTGCTTTTGCAGTATTGGGATTACAACAAGCATGTGTTGTCACCAGTGTGAGCTTTTTCATGTGGGTGCCAGGGCTTGAACTCAGGTCCTCAGGCTTGCGCAGCAAGCACATTCCAGCTGAGCTATTCCCTGAGACCCCTGAATTTTTTTAAAACACATAAACCATTCAAGGGCATAGGAAATAGCCTGCCCAAACTTTGACATTATCACTAACTGTGACCAGCATCCATAGAGGAAAGCTCTGATGGAGTGGGAAGCTGGGGGATGCGTTAATGTAAGCCATCCCCTCCCTCTCCTTGCTACAACTGCATGCTCCTTAATAGGCAAGTATTTTGCTCACTAATGAGAGAACATCTGTCTGTACTCTGTGGTGGAGGTAATGAGTGCATTAGTACCATAATTATTTGAAACAGATGCCAGTGATTCATCTTGCATATTAAAAATGTCTTAGAAGAGACCAGGAGTCCTAAGGCATTCTTCTCATTGGCTTCACAGGATTACCTTGCCTGCATCCGGGACCAAACAAAACTTCCCCTGGGGACTGAAGATAGGGCTGCTCTTTTTGGAAACATTCAGGATATCTACCACTTCAATAGGTAAGTCAATACCCTAAAGGTTGTTCTCGGATCAGAACGCTGTGAACTGCTCTCGGTCGACCACACCTAAGACATCTTTGCCCATAATCCTTGGTTCAGCTTCGCAAATGTTGTCCCTCTCTGTCCTCCTGGCTCAGAGAAGAGACTTAGCTCCCTGGAAGATCTCTGAGATCTTTTGTCCACAACAGAACGCAAGTGGGGCATCTGAACATCACACTGGTTTGGTCTCCAGAATCGACCCTGATGCTGGATTTTCAAGATGCTTTCTTCTGCCTAGAGAGTAGACAGTAAACTCCTAAGTTATAACAATAATTCCATTTCACTGATAATTAAGCATTACAAATTATTACAATATTCTTACATCTATTTGTGGTGTGTATTGTGTGTGTGTATGTGTGTGTGTGTGTGTGTGTGTGTGTGTGTGAGTGTGTGTATCACAGTAAGGGAAAAACTTTCAGAATTGTTTCCTTCCCCCATGTAGGTTCCAGAGAAGGAACTCAGCCGGGCGGTGGTGGCGCACGCCTTTAATCCCAGCACTCGGGAGGCAAAGGCAGGCGGATCTCTGTGAGTTCGAGGCCAGCCTGGTCTACAAGAGCTAGTTCCAGGACAGGCTCCAAAGCTACAGAGAAACCCTGTCTCGAAAAACCAAAAAAAAAAAAAAAAAACAGAGAAGGAACTCCTGTCCCCAGACTTTGGCGGCAAGCACCTTTACCTGTTAAGCCATCTTGCAGCCCCCAGTTCAAATAACTTAATTCATATCTGTATTAAATAGCTTCTAGGTGGGGGGCCCTAGGCTAGAAAGTTACACTGGTACCTAAGGCAGGGAGTGGAAACAGGTTTGTGAGCTGTTGTAGGTTTGTAGCACAGCTTGAGAGACACAGAAAGCAGCTAAGAACACAGGCACCACTGTTTATCCTTTATGAATTGCATCTTGGCTCAGCTATGCACACATCATGAATGAGTCTTTAAGCTGAGCTAAATCACTAAACCCTTCACTAAGGGTTTCTCAATGAGGCTCTACCAGGACACACACACATGCACACATACACACACACACCTTCATCTCTTCTACTTTTTCTCATTGACATTCCACAATATCTAACATGTATTGTGATGGGCTTCTCACAAAACATTCCAAGGGCAAGAATGTGTTTGGCTAATGCCGATGGATCTCAAACAGCTGTCTGGCCCATGGGAGACATTCACACTTTTATGAACAAATGGATTCACATGCCAGGAGATGCCATCTCCTGTGGCTGTGGGGAAGTTCTTAGCTGACATACCCAAAGGTTCAGCTCAGTGTCATCACGAGAGCAAGCATAAAACATTCCCATTGGAGATGTGCATTTGACACAGTGAACTGCCATCATAAAACTTTATATCACCCTTTGTTCTGTGGCTCAAATATACTACAAGCTAAGCCCTATCCCTCTTTACTTAATCAGGCCAATACAGATTAGTTCCCCAGAGTCAGGGTCCACATCCCCCTTGTCTCTTTGGAGCCCTGATATTTAGCACCAGCCTGGCTTACAGGAGGCAAGTTTCTCAAGTTCTAACAAGCTAGCTCATAGGAAGCCCCAAGGCTATATCAGGGTTCCACTTGCTTGCTCTTGTAGACACTGAGAATCGTTTTGTATCTTCTGAGCTCATGCTTCTCCTGGGCCACCAACTGAAGCACCTAGGAAGCTCTCCTTAAAAACCACCATGAGGGTATAGTTGGTAGATGGGGTACAGCTGGTAGATGGCTTACTGAGCATGCCTGAAGCCTTAGGCTTCGGTCTCAGCAGCAAATAAAACGATGGGGTACTGGGATCACCATGTGGAGGCAGGAGGAACAGAAATGGAAGGTCACCCTCAGCCACATAGTGAGTTCAAGGTCAGCCAGGAATCCATGACGCCACATCTCAGAATAAAAGAACAAGTAATATCTGGCCTAAATGGAATCATACGTCTCCTTTAAAGGCTCAGAAATTTCTAAAAGGGAGACAGAGAGACTGTGAGAGCAAGAGCAAGTGGGTGACTCCAAAGAAACAGCGTTTTCCAGGCCCAGCGGGGCTGAGGTACATATAAACTCAGGCCGTAAAGGCATGCACTGGACGTGCACAAGATCAAGCCAGAGAAAATCCCAGCATGGAAGGGAAGTGGGCATAATGTCCCACCCCTCACCAAGAAGCTGTTGGAAACTGACAGTGCCGGGAGAGGGGAAATGGGTTTTCTTCAGTGGAGTGGTACTGTATATCAACCATGTTCCTGGGTGGGCCCAGTGCTCCGGAGTAGTCAACCAACATAAACGGGACCCCCTCAGAGCTTCTTCTTCTTGTTGTTACAAAAGAGAAAGAAGTAAATTTGGGGGGGTAAGGAGGTTACAGGGAATCAGGGAGGAGTTGGGGGAGGGTAAAAATCTGATAAAAATATGCTGTATGAAATTCTCAAAAAATAAATTAAAAACATTATTTTTAAAACAATATTGGGACCCTACTTTCAGAAATCGACTCATCCGTCTGGGACGGGGCCACAGCCTCAGAATTTTCAAAAAGGCCTTCAGGTATTTATAATGTGGAGCCGCAGCAGAGAAACACTATCTGGGTAAATCAGCCCAGCAATGAGACAGTGAGAAACACATCAAAAACTGAAGAAGCCACACTCACTAGTGATGTGCTGGTTTTAAAGCAGGCCCCTATTTAGCGATGCCATGAGTCCTGGGATAGTATCACTTTCCAGAGCCCGCTAATTATACTGTGACCCAGAAAGATGCTGGATACTGAGAGATCCCTGCCCTAGCTCATCTGTGGTTTGGCAATAAATTGATGGTGACCAGTACTTGAGGAGTGTTTCCTTTTGCCAGAGGCCAGACAGCCTCTAGAGCCGTCTATGTCATCCGCGAGTGCCTGCCTGCATAGCAGGACCCTGTGCTTCAAGCCCTGTATGAAGTTCAGGAAGCTATGCCTAACCTCAGGAGGGATTTTCACTCCTTGGAATTTAAATGTGTGTGTCTCCTAGTCTAAAGGAAGAAAAACGTGAGTTAGCGAGATGGGACTCAGCAGCGAGGCCCATTATGCAAAAGCTAAATATCTTGAAAGACCTTTCTACTCCTGAACCCATTCTCCGTTCTTTTCTGTTGGATATCCGCTGATACTGAGAGCCATTCCTGTCTGAAATATGCCTGGGTCAGACAGAAGGGCTACCCTGCTGAAGATGAACATACAGGGCGTGGTACCGTCATGCCATGGCAGCCTATTGCGTTCATGCCAGTGGCTGCGGAGATCACACTTGGCAGTCACGGTTCAGGCAGTACCTTAATCCTCTTAGCCGTTCTGCAAGGTGGAGAGAATGCAATAAGACACACACATTTCATACATGAGGAAGCAGCCTTTGAGGCCGCCTAGTCCTCTGTTCCCGGGTAGAGCCTAAGACTGGGCCACTTTGGATACTGCTTTTGTTAAATTCTGGTGTCTTCCTCTGTTTTGAAAAAATTATCTCTTATTTGACTTTGCTGTTGAATTATCTGGGTTCTGTGGGTTGGTTAGTTGTTTGCCTGTTTGTTTATTTGTTTGAGACAGGGTCTCCTTATGTAGGCCAGGCTGTCCTCAAACTCAGTCTTCGTATGGTAGCCTCCAGGGTGCTGGGATTGCAGAGGTTCACACCCATGCTCAGCTGCATACAGTAGAATTGTTGCCTTTGCTTTGTCCCCATTTGTTTGAATTTCTGTTTTCTTATATCTAGAATCTAAATTTGTAATTTAGATGACCCTGTGGTTGCTACTGTTGGTTAAAATGAGAACACCAATGTGACTTTAAGTCACTGCTCATGCATCTTTAATGATATGCCAATTGATTTCTAAGATGCAGCTGTCTGGCCAATCATGACGGAGCTTTAGATAATAGACTCTAAAGTTCTGCTGTTCGTAATTCCCGATTTTTCAGCATGGTGTTATAATATTGTATCTAGCTAGGTCAGACGTAAGTCTCCAAAGTTAAAGGGGGAGGATATATTAGCCTGAAAACTGTAGCTGATTGGGTTTCATTTTCTAAGACACACAGATGGAGCAAATCTAAACCTGAAAATCCAAACATTTGGGAACTTTTGGAGCACTGGCCAAAGTTGAAAATTCCACATCTGATCTCATGTAATGTATCACAGCCATAACACAGACCCACTGAAAACTACGAAATTGCCTCCAAGCTCAATGTACCATCTGCAGATGAAAATAACAGAATTCGGGTCTACAGTTGGGTCCCATCTCGAAGATAAGGAAGGCACTATGTCTATGCAGATATTCTGAACCCCAAAAGCACTTCTGATCCCAAACGTGTGGGTTAGAAAACCCTTGACCTGTATTTCCAACACACAGAAAATATAGAATGATACAATAGTCTATATTCTATATTATTCTATATTGTATCTCTGAAGCTTTCTTGTACCATATTTATTTTTTAAATTCCTCACATTTAAAAGGCATTAAAGATCTCGCTGAAAACCTCTTCTATGCCCTTCTCCAATGTCATTCTGCCCTGTGCAGAGTGATAGAATACACTTAGTGCTGGCACACCAGTTCTCTGGCGTGGCAATGCAAGAGAAATCTGGAATTGATTGAGACTGAGATCCTGGTATCATCCGCTCGTGTATTAAAAACTGGAGAAACAAATGACTTAGATGCCAAGAGTCTGCGTCAGCACCGATAAAGGAATGGGAAAGATGCAGGGTCAGTTAAGATAGACCAGCTTTCCCTGAATCCCTGTTTCATGGTAACTTACTATGAAATACGGTGCTCCATTTCTAAGCTGGCTTTGTTTTCTTTCCTGTTTTGCTGTATAGCAGTGATAGGGCAATGTTTCTAGGGACGGAACCCAGGGCCTCGCACATATTACACATACATGTGTTCTACCACGCCCCAGCCTCGGGGTATGAGTTTTGCCATCATTACGTGTATCTTTATTTGAAACACGCCCCCTGCTTTCCCTTGCTTCATACATGGTGTGAAGACTGTGAACTCTCACAAG